TCTAAAAGTATCAACTATTACTGCTTTGTCCTTATTTATGTTCCTCATGAGCTGGCCAACTACAAACTTTTAAAAGGAATTTGATTTAAAAGATTTTGTGTGTTTGGCACTGACTATGGGTGTTAATCATTTCTGAGCTCACTTTTTTCTCTTCTGTTTATAATATTCTCAGGGAACTTCAAAACAGAAACCTGTTCCCTTATAGATTCTGCTTCCTCTTGGGTACTGTGTAGATTACTTTGTCACTGGAAAGTTAACTGTAAGTGTTCAGTTGATAGCACCAATCATTTCTATTTAATTTTTTTAGGAAAAGAAATAAATACAGCAATGTGTTGAAGCTTTTCTGTTTTGATGGGAGGAGTGGAAAACTATGTTGAGAAACATTGATGTAAATAAAAAATGTTAGAAAAATATATAAAGCCATTAAATTTAAAAATAAGGCGGGAAATCGCCATAGTTAGGAACTAAATTCACTGAAAAATTAGATGAATAACATTTCTACCCTAATGACAGAGGTGCTAGAAATTCTCCTTCAGTAGATATTACTTTTAAAAATGAAAACATTTTACTCCTTCTTACGTGTTTCTTAAGAGATAATTCGTGAAAGTAAGGTAACCTAAGATTTCGGTTGATTATGTGCCTTAAACTCAAATTATAATCTTGTTCATGAAATATTAGAAACTGTTTATCCATATCCTTTATTCACTGTTCCTCTCTGAAACATTTTACTTTTCTATTAGAATCTGCTTTGAGCCTATTAAATGAGGTGTCTCTCGATGAATAACAGTCTACCTAGCCTTGGCAACTTATAATTTTCATGTTTTTTGCACAAACTGAGGATTCTGCCACTTAGGAGATATTAGCAAAAAAGACATACGGAGGGGAAAGTTGTGCTACTTTTCCCTTCTTATCTTAAATCTTTCATCAGCAATCTGAATAAATGCAATGACACCCAGCTTTTATAAAACTGATCATTGATAAACCTCAATAATTACCCTTTATGAAAGATGATGGAAAGTAATCACAAGATCAAATCAATTTAGAGAAATAATGAAAATAAGCTGAAAGCTTTAAGAATTTAAAAACACTTTTCTTACAAATATATAACATAAATAAAATAAATAGATGCATACATATATTTTACAATATTGAGATCATACTGTTTATACTACTTTATATCCTTTGGCCTTGACACTGGCTTTCTCTCTGCCTGAGACTACTGTCCACATCTCCACGTGGCTAACTGCCTCTCTCCCAGTCTTTGCTCCAACACTGCCTTCACTATGAGGCCTACTTTGGTTTATCCCATTTAAAAACTGTAGTTCAGGACCTCCCTGGTGGCGCAGTGGTTGAGAGTCCGCCTGCCGATGCAGGAAACACGGGTTCGTGCCCCGGTCCGGGAAGATCCCACGTGCCGCAGAGTGGCTGGGCCCGTGAGCCATGGCCGCTGAGCCTGCGCGTCCGGAGCCTGTGCTCCGCAACAGGAGAGGCCACAGCGGTGAGAGGCCCGCGTACCGCAAAAAAAAAAAAAAAAAAAAACTGAACAGGACAATGGGAATCATGTGTCTGGGATGGGAGTGAACTACAGTTTTGTTTGTTTTTTTGGCTGTAGCACTTATTTTCTAACATACTATATAATTCTTTATTTATTAAGCTTGTTATTTACTGTCGCTCTCTTCACCCCTTCCCCACTGGAATGTAAACTCTTTTTTTTTTGGCTGCGTTGAGTCTTCGTTGCTGCTCGCAGGTTTTCTCTAGTTGCGGCGAGCGGGGGCTACTCTTCGTTGCGGTGCGCAGGCTTCTCACTGCGGTGGCTCCTCTTGTTGCGGAGCACGGGCTCTAGGTGCACGGGCTTCAGTAGTTGTGGTACGTGGGCTCAGTAGTTGTGGCTCACGGGCTCTAGAGCGCAGGCTCAATAGTTGTGGCACACGGGCTTAGCTGCTCCGCGGCATGTGAGATCTTCCTGGACTAGGGCTTGAACCTGTGTCCCCTGCATTGGCAGGCAGATTCTTAACCACTGCGCCACCAGGAAAATCCCTGGAATGTAAATTCTTTGAGGGCAAATAAATTCTATTTTCCCCACTGACGATAGTGCCTAGCACATACTAGGTACTTGATAAATATTTGTTGCAGGGACTTCCCTGGTGGTCCAGTGGCTAAGACTCCACGCTCCCAATGCAGGGGGCTCTGGGTTCGATCCCTGGTCAGGGAACTAGCTCCCACATGCTGCAACTAAGAGTTCGCATGCCACAGCTAAGACCCGGCGCAGCCAAATAAATAAATAAATAAAAATATTTTAAAAAAAATATTTGTTGCATTAATTAATAAACTGCAAATTCTCTCTACATTGTATTGTATTTTTCAAGTCTCTAAAAATTCTTCCAAACCTTCACACTTAATTGCTTGCATAATAGTCTTTCACCTAGGTATAGCTTATTTAATAATCACTCTCAAATACTGAACATTTACATTGTTTCCCGTATTTACTATTATAAATAGTTCTTTGATAAACATACTTGTGCATAAGTACATGTACTTTTTATTATTTCCTCAGGAATAAATCTATTTCCTTAAGATAAATCTATCACTAGAACTAGAATTTCTGCAAAGCAGTTACATATATTCTTGGAGCTCTTAATACACATCACCAACTCACTTCCAAAAAGTTTATACCAATTGTTGCTACCGTTAGTAGCATGAGTGCCTCTAACTAAATCTTTATCAGTATCAAATTTTACCTTTAAAATACCATCTTTAAACATTTTTGTCCCAATCTTGGCATTTTAAAGTAAACTTAGGATTTTCAGATGTTGATGAAATTCTCCATGTAAATCACAGATCTCCACATGGAGTAAAAATAGAGAAGAAATTAGAAATCCCAATGGCTTGTCCATTCCAATCAAACAATGTAAAATGGGTGAGATTATCCCAACACCAGACAACCATTAGGTGAGATGGGGGAGCAGTGTTCACTTTGGTTTAGACAATTACAAACCAAGTTTGTTCTTAGAAAATTGAATATGATTAGTGATAACATGAACATTTAGTCTTTAACTCAGATATGCTTTTTAGAGTCCTCTAAAGTTCTCCCTAAATACCGACCCATTCAGTCTCATAGCAATGCAGAAAGAGAATGAAGTTTTTCCAGGGACTGCCTAATCCAATACTAAAGCCAGTTCTGTTCTCTAGTACTAGGATCCCTGCTTCTAATTCCTGTTCACTGACTGTAATCCCAGTCACTGGGCACTGCGCTGACAAGGTTTGTGAAATAATCCTTTCAGTCTTTAGTAAGGCCCAAATTAGAAGCCAGGAAATAGCTGTCTGAAAATTTAGTCACAAACTTACACTTCTACATTTGTGAGACAAATCGTGGGAAAATATGTGAGGTTCAAATTGGCAGGGAGCAATCAGCTTCTTCCTTTTTCCATAAGTAAAGACTAACACACAATTTTTTATAAATCTTTTCTCTAAATGGAACGAAAAAATGGCCCCTTAGTACTGTGTTCGGCACTTAATAGACATTATTTCAACTTCACAGTCTCATGAGGGAGATATAATTATTATGTCCATTTTATAGATATGGGAACTGAGGCTTAATGAGTTAAGGAACACTCTGAAGTCACACGGCCAATGAACAGCAAGGCCAGGATTAGAGCAGAGCCTCAAAGCCTGCACTGTTTTCATTGTACTGCTCTGCTTGATTATAGATATCATTGGTTTGAGAGCAGAATTCTGCACCAGGGATTAGTAACCAAAAGCCTATGGGTAACTGCACCATGGGAAAATGTGTTTCTTATGGTTGCCCACCTCTTGCTCCTTGGGGACCTAGTATCTTAGTAACGGCTAAAATATTAACTGACTATGAAAATGTTACCTAGCATGGTTTAATTTGTGATCCCTACAGAAGATACTTGAGGGTGAAAGAATTAAGATTCAAATAAATGGCACTAGGATGGTGAAGTGCAGTGAATGGGGATGGCATTTTGGATGGGGTGCTACTGCCTTTTCCGAAGGTAAGCTCTAAGCAAGGAGTGGGTCTGGAGTAGCAGAGAGAGGTAAGAGTTGGTGAGATCCAAGGGAAGGAAGAATACCATTCCCCATGTTTGTTCTCTCTGGCCTAGAGCCTGCTGTGTAGAAAAGCTTGTCTCCAGGGTGCCTCTAGAACTGACTTCCAGCTGTAAGCATCAACTTGGACACACTGGATGTTTAAGTGCTGAAAGACTTTCCTACCAGCTAAAAGTAAGCTCTACCCAAGTCCTGAGCCACCAAGTGTCCCCAGGATACACGCTCATGCCCAGCACAGCAGTGGGCCTCCAGGACCTGTCCTGGTGTCAACCATTCTCACCATCAGTGGCCACGCTGCAGGGCTCGTTATTTATCTTGAACATCACTCTTGGGGGCTCTCATGGAATATATGATGAGGGCTTCCAGCCTCTCTGGTCAGCTCATGAAGGCATGGGTAAGAAAGAGGCATGAGGAGACCTTCAACTAAGCCAAGAAGGAGCCCCAGCTAAAGCCCTCCTGTATTATGTGGGAGGGATCAAATGAAGGTGACCTCAGAATACTCAAGTTTAAAAACAAAAGCAGAGGGGCTTCCCTGGTGGCGCAGTGGTTAAGAATCTGCCTTCCAATGCAGGGGACATGGGTTCAAGCCCTGGTCCAGGAAGATCCCACATGCCGTGCAGCAACTAAGCCCGTGCTACAGCTACTGAGCTACAGCTACTGAGCCTGCGCTCTAGAGCCCACAAGCCACAACTACTGAGCCCACGAGCCACAACTACTGAAGTCCGCGCGTCTAGAGCCTGTGCTCCACAACAAGAGAAGCCACCGCAATGAGAAGCCCGCACACCACAACAAAGAGTAGCCCCTGCTCGTTGCAACTAGAGAAAGCCTGTGTGTAGCAACGAAGACCCAATGCAGCCAGAAATAAATAAATTAAATAAATAAATTAAAAAACAACAACAACAACAACAAAAGCAGAACAAAACCATACTGTGAACCTGTTAAACCACATCTTCGGGCAGGTGCAACTCCCAGGTCAGGTTTAAGAGCACTGAAATCCCTCCTTGTGAACCAGCCCAGTTGTTTCCTTCTCTGGACAAGAGTGCGCTTCTCAGGCAGGTCGGCCTCACCAAAGAAAAACACACTGCAGCCAGGAACACGCTGGACCAGATTCTCAGCAAGGTCTATGGACAGTGGGAAATTTTAACAAAATTAAATTAAAATCAGGCCCAATGAAAGAAAATAAAGCACATAATTTTCTTTATTTTATTGTGGTAAAATATATTTAACACAAAATTTACCATTTTAACCATTTCTAAGTGTACAGTTCAGTAGCATTAAGTACGTTCCCATCACTGTTATAACCATCACCACTAAAGCATATAATTCACACAAATTTTAAAAATCAAAGCTTGAGCATAATTAATTTTCCCTTGAAGTTAGTCTCATAATAAAAAGTTTGTCTATGTACAAGGAGGCTAGAAATTCTAAGCCATTATGAATCTAATTCCATAAGGAAAATTCATCACTAAGATTAATAAAATTGGTACCTTCAATTTTTTAACTATTTTATAACAGCCCCAAATTATGTATACTGTTAGGAGAAAGAAAAAGTTAAGAATACAGGGGCCAGATCTGCATTGTTCAATATGGTAACCCTTAGCTACACATTCCATTAAATTTTAATTTTAATTTTAATTAATTAAATGAAATGCAATAAAAGTTAGTTTTTTCAGTTGCATGAGCCACATTTCAAGTGCTCAATAACCACATGTGGCCAGTGGTCTTCCTATTGGACAGTGCAGATACAGAACATTTCCATCATCACAGAAAGTTCTACTGGATAGTATTGGGTCAGATATTCTGCAAGGAAGCCTAGTATTTAAATATAATTTTATGGAGGCTACTCTCTGAATGACGTTTTTTCATTCTCTTCTGCCATTTTTATATCTAGATTCTGTCTCTGACCTTATCTTTTCAAGGCAGATTATAGAATTACCTTCCTGTTTTTTCTAGAGAACTGCTTTAGGGGACTGCTGTTTGCAGCTGACAGCATGTTTTCATGGTACTAATCACAGTCCCCTGTAAGCAAGGATAGAGATAGCATAAATTTTTTTCTGATGTATAGATGCAGGTATTTGGGAATTTGGGTACTGGCCTGGGACAGCAGGACTGTGGGCCTCCCCTATTTGGAGGCCCATCATGGAACATCAGAGGCTGAGATGGGGCCTTTAGCCCCATAAGCACAGGAAACCTCTCCAACTACAATTCTTAAGGTTGGTTATTTGTTTGTTTCTAATGTAGACTGCTATGCTGATGGGAGGGGTGAAATGTGGAGGGCATTAAAAAAATTTTGTACCTCTGGGTTGTATGAAGTCTAGGGAAATGTTCTTTTTTAAAAATATTTATTTATTTATTATTAATTTAGTTTGGCTGCACCAGGTCTTAGTTGCGGCCCACGGGATCTTCGTTGAGGCATGTGGGATCTTTAGTTACAGCATGCGCACTCTCAGTTGCGGCATGCATGCGGGATCTAGTTCCCTGACCAGGGATCGAACCAGGCCCCCTGCATTGGGAGTGCAGTCTTACGCACTGGACCACCAGGGAAGTCCCGGAGAAACATTCTTTCTCTGAGTCAGGTAGAGACTCTAGCACTAGAAGCCTGTGATATGTAGACACCACAAAGCCAAGAAAATCTCCCAAATTTACTAAGTGAACTCTACTTCTTTAACACTACTTTAAGATACTAAAGGACCATGGGCTTCAGGGCGGGGGAGCGGGCAGATGCCAGTGACACAGTTAACAGAGGTTTAGAAATTGTAAAATAATGTTTAGGCAGTTACCTAAGTACTCCCCTCAAATCTGGAATGGCAGAGAGCAGGGGTGGCAGAAGAAAGGGAAAATGGTTTAGGAGACTTAGTTAAGACATCTTAACGTCTGACAACTCTCCAAATTGTTTGGATCACCGTTATCTGCTCCAGCCATAACTTAGAGTGACTCACACTTTGGTTGTCACAGGAGCCTAAGACACAAACTGTGATGCTAAAGCCCCTCCTTCTAAATAGAAATAGTGTGACCTACTTCCTGGCTCTGCTCAGTTCTTGGCCTAGCCAGGCCAGCACCTCCATTTGGAACTACAGTTCTGAAGTATTGCGTAAGTTTATAAAGCCCAGAATGCTGTAAAGGAGGATTCTTGGAGCCTGGTTCTTAAAGGGCAAAGCAGGGGGAGATATTTGCAGTAGCAACTCCCAGCTGTCAGCAGCTGGGGGGTTGAGGGCAGGGGTACATTTTGGTTTAGTAGAATTAGCATATGCTTTTGAGGCCAGAAGATATCGGTTTGAACACCATTTCTGCTCCTTAATACCTGTTTGGGATCTTGAGCAATTTTTTTTGACATCTCTGAGCCTCAAGTTCTTTGTCTGTAAAGTGAAAATGGAAAAAAAAAAAAAAGCTTTCTCTAAAGCACCAACTCCTTATCTAGAAATCTGGCAATTAAAAGGAATAAAAATAAGCATTTATCCTGCCTTTCCTGTATAAACTGTATTTCAGGGTAGCCAGATAGCCTGAACTGATGAGGGAAAGATTTTTTAATAGAAAAAAATCTAACTAATAAATGTGGAAGAAAAGATATGATTAGAAAAATCACCATTTTGGAGACCCTAAGAAAATAACTGTTTCAGGCAAAGATCATCAATGGATAAAACCCTCATGAAAAGTCAATTAGGAACAAGGGCAATTCATCTTTGCATCACCAGATGTGAGATAATCAGACATTGTGGCTTCCTGATAGGACATGTATGAAGCTCACAGCCCACCTTTGAAGAAGTTTTGCCAAAAAAAAAAAAAAAAGAACTTCAACCCGATCAAGGGGCTAACTTAAAGTCTGTATGAAATGAGAGGGATAAAGAAACAAATTAAATGACACCACAAGGGAGCAAACAGATGATCCAGAATGTGGAAATTCCATAGGACAACTGACCTAGTTTCTGCAACCAGTGAATTGGAGGAAAAAAGGGGGGCGGGGAACTGGGCTAGATCAAAAGAGACAGAGATACAACAATCACCTCAATATGTGAACCATGTGTAGATCCAGATTCAGACAAGCCCATCATAGAAAGACGTTTGCTTGGGTTATACACTGGATATTAGATGGTACCAAAAAACGATCATTTTGTTGGGTGTGATAATGGCATTGTGACGATATAAGAAAATGTCCATATTGCTTACAGATATTTTAAATATGCAGGGTTTAATCAAATAATATGATTTTTGGAACTTGCTTTAAAAAACCTTTAATACAACTAAAGGAAAAAAGAGGGAGATAAAAAGAGAGGAAAGGAGAAAAATAAAGGAAGTAAAGAAAAAAGAGGAGAGGGGGTTAGATGGTGGAAGAGTAAGACACGGAGATCACCTTCCTCCACACAGATACATCAGAAATACATCTACACGTGGAACAACTCCTACAGAACACCTACTGAACGCTGGCAGAAGACTTCAGACCTCCCAAAAGGCAAGAAACTCCCCACGTACCTGGGTAGGGCAAAAGAAAAAAGAATAAACAGAGACAAAAGAATAGGGACGGGACCTGCACCAGTGGGAGGGAGCTGTGAAGGAGGAAAGGTTTCCACACACTAGGAAGCCCCTTCGCGGGGGGAGACTGCGGGTGTTGGAGGGGGGAAGCTTCGGAGCCACGGAGGAGAGCACAGCACAGCAACAGGGGTGCGGAGGGCAAAGCGGAGAGATTCCCACACAGAGGATCGGTGCCGACCCGCACTCACCAGCCACTCACCAGCCCGAGAGGCTTGTCTGCTCAACCGCCGGGGCGGGAGGGGCTGGGAGTTGAGGCTCGGGCTTAGGTCAGAGCGCCGGGAGAGGACTGGGGTTGGCGGCGTGAACACAGCCTGCAGGGGGTTAGTGCGCCACGGCTGGCCGGGAGGGAGTCCAGGGAAAAGTCGGGACCTGCCGAAGAGGCAAGAGACTTTTTCTTCCCTTGTTTCCTAGTGCGCGATGAGAGGGGATTAAGAGCGCTGCTTAAAGGAGCTCCAGAGACGGGTGCGAGCCGCGGCTAACAGCGCAGACCCCAGAGCTGGGCCATGAGATGCTAAGGCTGCTGCTGCCGCCACCAAGAAGCCTGTGTGCGAGCACAGGTCACTATCCACACCTCCCTTCTGGGGAGCCTGTGCAGCCCGCCACTGCCAGAGTCCCGGGATCCAGGGACAACTTCCCCGGGAGAACACACGGCACACCTCAGGTTGGTGCAACGCCATGCCGGCCTCTGTGCTGCAGGCTCGCCCCGCACTCCGTGCCCCTCCCTCCCCCCGGCCTGAGTGAGCCAGAGCCCCCGAATCAGCTGCTCCTTTAACCCCGTCCTGTCTGAGCGAAGAACAGACTCCCTCAGGCAACCTACACGCAGAGGCGGAGCCAAATCCAAAGCTGAGCCTCTGGGAGCTGTGAGAATAAAGAAGAGAAAGGGAAATCTCTCCCAGCAGCCTCAGAATCAGTGGATTAAATCTCCACAATCAACTTGATGTACCCTGCATTTGTGGAATACATGAAAAGACAACGAATCATCCCAAATTGAGGAGGTGGACTTTGAGAGCAAGATTTATGATTTTTTCCCCTTTTCCTCTTTTTGTGAGCGTGTATGTGTATGCTTCTGTGTGAGATTTTGTCTGTATAGCTTTGCTTTCACCATTTGTCCTACGGTTCTATCCGTCCGTTTTTTTTTGTTGTTGTTTTTTTGGGTTTTTTTACTTAAAAAATTTTTTTTCTTAATAATTATGTTTTATTTTAATAAATTTATTTTCTTTTCTCTTACTTTATTTTATTTTCTTTTATGCTCTTTCTTAGTTTCTACTTTTGCTCCCTTTTATTCTGAGCCGTGTGGATGAAAGGCTCTTGGTGTTGCAGCCAGGAGTCAGTGCTGTGCCTCCAAGGTGGGAGAGCCAACTTCAGGACACTGGTCCACAAGAGACCTCCCAGCTCCACATAATATCAAACAGCAAAAATCTCCCAGAGATCTCCATCTCAACACCAACACCCAGCTTCACTCAAAGACCAGCAAGCTACAGTGCTGGACACCCTATGCCAAACAACTGGCAAGACAGGAACACAACCCCATCCATTAGCAGAGAGGCTGCCTAAAATCATAATAAGGTCACAGACACCCCAAAACACAACACCA